CCATCACCTTCATACCTTTAGTTTTGAAGGGGTTTTGAATATTGTTAAATGTTTTTGGATTTTGAATTGATTTTTTTTTAATCTTAATGATGCAATGCCAAAGGAAAAGAAAAGTCTAATGGGAGACTTGATCCTAAGGTTGTCATGCAATGTTTGGACTTAGGGTTTGCATTATGGGAGAAATTCTACCATAAATTTTTATGCTTAGATTGAGATCCTAATGTCTATCTTGATTCAAGTTTCATCAATGATTTAAAATGAACCAAGTAAGCCTAAGGGAACATGTTATTCACACAAGCAATGAGCACACAAGTGGGTGAGAATCAAAGAGTTTTATTTGACAAAAGATTTGTGACAAAAGAGTGAAAGTTGAAAGCATGTTTTTGATGTTTTATGGTTTATGACTTAAAGGAGTTTATGAAGGAAATATGTTAAATAATGAGACAAGATTGTGAAAACATGGATGAGTTTAATGTTTGAAACAATGTATACATCACAATCAAGATGAAAGTCATGGAGCATATCTTTTGATTTTGAACATGTTTCATGGTTTGTTTTAGATTTGAGTGAGAAAACCCTAAAATAAACTCAACATATCATGAAATACTTACTCAAGAGTCAAGACTTAAAATTAGAATCAATATCTATCATGGTAGGATCAAGCTTTGTGAGAAAAGTTGGGAAATCAATCAAAAGATCATGAAAAGGCCTTTTAAAAACCCTAAAAAGTACCTATGTTGATTTAATTAGAAATGGTGAAATAAAAAATACTTTAGGGATTTTTTCACATAATCATAAAATAAAGGTGTTAAATTAAGAGTGTACAAAAAATCAGTTCAAAAGGAGCTGTTTGGATTGGTTAAAATTGAGTTAAAGTTTGATAAAAAACAAAATAAAACAAGTGTTAAAAATAAAAGCTTTGTTGCTAAGAAGGGTTGAACTCAGGACCCTAGGGTCACTGGTCAAAATATTTACCACCAGGCCATATGCACGTGGTGCTTAAAAGCGCCTTCATTAGAATATATTTGAAATAAGTTCAGAAATCACAAAATAGAAAAAATGTGTGAAAAATGCAAAGGGGGGGGGGGGGGGGGGGGGGGGGGGGTTCACACTGGTTTAAACCCTCACCCTTATGCTTGCCAAGACTTGAAAACGCACGCTCTTGCCATTGGGGTGGCTATTTTATCCAGTCATAAAACACTCTGTATTAAATATAAAATGAACTCATTTGTTGAAATTGAACAAATGGCGCCACCAGCACCATCTTCTTCCTCGTGCAAACAACATTAACAACTCCATTGTTAAACTTCTAACTCTTTCATTTCTTAACCATTTTAAAAATTGTAAACACCAAACTTGACTGGAATTTCACAAGGAATTCAATGGTGTAATTTATTTAAGCTATAAATCAAATATGAACAAGAATTTTTGTCAGTACCAAAATGAAACCCTAGCTGTTAAGTTTCACAATTCTCATTACACAAGAAAAATTAATGAAAGATAATTACATTGTTAGCTTTATGAACATCATGTCTACATTTTTGCTTCATAATGTATGCATAAATGACGCGTGTATAAAGATTTAAAGGTTTGAGTTTTTAACCAAGTTGGAGAAAGTCCAACACCTCTTCTAGCAGCTTCAAGTGCAAATGAATGATGTGGTTAGCTTCCTGGGACCTTGGTGAAGATATTCCAATCCTTACTTTGCTTTGAAAGTTGTTGAAATGCTCTAGCCAAGTCAAGTTGCAAGTGACCAAAAGTGAAATGGGGGATGATGATGATGGCATTACAGAAGTGTAACATGGGTTTGGATCACTTCTATATGATGTATATGAGGCGTGTGGATGATTGGTTTGCAAAGAAGTTGCAAGGTTGATGAGTTTCAAAGATAAGGACTTCAAGGTTCAACAATGGAGGTTTTTTTTGGCCAATTCTGGTTTGGGAGAGTTTGAGGGTGTTTTTAGAGCTCGTGAATTGGTGTTTTGGACTGCAAATGACCTCTCTATTTATAGGAAAATGTTAGATGGAACTGAGATGGTTGCAATCTTCAGATGCCAAGTTATGGTTTGGTTGAAAGTGAAAAATCAAGTTTAATGAATTTTCATGGTTTCAATGCTCAAGTACAAGTGTGCTCTGGACTTGTTGGGTGCAGAAAGCTTGCTTAGTGCTTTTGGTCTTGCTTGTGCTCAGAGAAAACAAGTTGGAAGCTCAAGAAGTTGATTTATGCACAAAAGCTTCACTTTATGAAAATGGCAATGGTGCCTTTGTGCCATTAAAGGTATGATTCTTTGAACAATGCCTTAATCACTTGGGTAATAAGTTGGGGAGTTACGTAATCTTTAGATTAGAGAAAGATTTGGAGATTATAGGACCTGGAAAGTGATATTTCTAGGCATAGCATGAATATTTGATCTTATGGCTATCATAAAAATGACCTCTAATTCAAGTGAAAATGGCCAACTTCATCTCTTCGAATCTCCTTGCTCAAGAATGATAAAGTTGTGCTCTAAGATATTTTTGAAAGCTTAGATCATTCTCTTCAACTTTCATATTGACCACTTTGGCTGAATCAATTGGGAACTTGGTAAAAAATGGCCATAAAGTGAGTAACTTTTAAAGTTAAAACACACATGAAAAATTTCTCTAAGTGTTGGATTTTGAGGTCATGACTTTATTGGCTCATATCTCTTAATCGACGCGTCTTTTGAGGATCATCCCATATTGACAACATTGTATAAATCATCATTCTCTTCAAGTTGAACATTGAAGCATGACAAATGATGGCTTGATGAAGAAGTTATGACTTTGCAAAGTGTGACATTTTACACATGGAATTTCACTACACTTAGTGAAATTTTCAAATCCAATTCATGATTTTGAATCTTTTTCTTGATTTCTTGATTAAATGATCAAATGATGATACCAATCATATTCCCATGGTTCTTAACTTGATACACCCTTGTCTGACCAAAAAGTCAAAGTTTGACTTTACAGTTGAATTTTTCTTCAGATGAATTCCACTCTCCTATGACTAATGCAATCTTGTGATTGTGAAACTATTGAGATGGTGTGATGACCATGAGATAGTATTGTTGATGATACTTTGAAGTAATCAACCTTAAATTTTAAGCCATAAAACCCTAATTCCTGATTTTCCACTAATGAAATCCAAAAACCCTAATTTTCTTTAAACCAAAATGATGAGACCCAATGATTGAGGATACCTTGAAGATGATGAGCATGATGATACAATATCTTGAGAGATGAGCCTCTCCTCTTCAAAACCCTAATCTTGAGAAAAATGTGATCCATGCTTTGAGAACATATGTTGTGAATGATTGTGATGCAGATGAAAATGTTTGTGGAGATGAATGAATGTGAGATTTGAGTTAACTGTGATTGAAACTCAAAGGGAAATTTTAGGGTGCAACAACTCTGAAGTTTTAGGGGCAGTTGTTCTGGATCAGTCATATCCTCGGCGATCCGACCCATCTTCAGAGATTCGACCACCATAAGGAAATAACTCATCGAATTGATTTGATTTTGGCATGTCCTTTTTTTGAGTCGATCACTGTAGAGCATAACATCCCAAATCCAAATCAAGTATGTAGTAAAACTTCTAGAACAATCTTTAGTAAACTGGAAGCAGGAGAACCATCACTGCAATGCATCCAACGGTCCTTCGCATTCCACACCGACTAGTTAGCAAGTTAGTTCTTTAACTCCTCTATATATGCGGATATGTAACAAATTTCAAACACAATTTGAATACTCTCTAATCACTCACGTACTGACTTAAGCGTTCAAATGCTAATTTTGCAGGTACACTCTCCACTTCGTCACATCAGAAGCTCTTCTCAGTCGTAACTTCGTGACTTCACATATTTATGACTCTAGTACGAAACATTTTTATTTTTAATATGTGAAGTCTCATTTCTCTTATCTTTTCTCTCATCTTTGTTGTAACTTTGATTGAGACTCCTAGACTTTGTTCTAAGTAGCGACGACTTGAACTTCTTATGTAAAGTCCCGCTAGAGCCATCAAACAACTAGGAGGATTTTACATGCCACCCCCATTAGAGGTATTTTTACTATAAAGTCCCTGTAAATATAATTTTTTTTGAAATTTACGGTTTCGTATCGAAAATTTCGGTTAAATTACCATTTTTACCGTGGCGAATATATTCAACCGAAAATTTGAAATTTCCAATACCAAAAATTTTAAATTTTCGGGAACTGACATCCCTTATGTACCAGAAATTTTGAAATTTCTGATAGGTACAAAAAAACCAGAAATTTGAAATTTCCGGTGAATTCCACTCGACAAGATATAAAATTTCATTTGCAGACATATCAGAAATTTCAAATTTCAAAATTTATGCTACCTACCGGAAATTTACGTAATTCTCGATTTATGTAATTGCTTTTGAAAATCGTTCCGGAAAATTTGAAATTTTCGGTGAATTCCACTCACAAATTTTGAAATCTCCAATTATTCACAATCGAAAATTTAAATGATATAAAAAAATTCCGATATACGCCAAAATTCGGCTTTTAACCCCTTTAATCAATAGTAAAGTTGTTTTGACAAATATAAATTTTTTGAAAGTAAATAGTAGAAGACATTTTAAAAATAATTAAATATAAAATATACCATATATAAATTGTGGGATGCAATGTTAAATTCTCAATCGCTAGAAATTGGTCAATCCAATTCCTATATTAACTAACCGAAGTGAAAGAAATTTTTTTTATCACGGCTTTTAAAAAAAAATTAAAATACTAGTATAATTTGAACCGTCGGATCAAACGGACGGTCACGGCTCTGCTTACGCTGTAATTACGTGCAGTAATTAATAGAGTAAATATCGATTCCGCTTTTAGATCGGTTAAGCCGTAGCGTCGTAAAACGTATTTGCAAAGTTCAAAGACGAACTTAATTCCAAACCCCAACCGATTTAAAAAACACAAATTCCAGTAAACAACCGCACTGCACATTCATGAAAACCCCCACCGGAACTCGATCTTCTCCGGCCACCGGAGCCGAAGGCGGCTGGTCCGATGAGGCCACGTTTACACTCATCGACGTCTGGGGAAAACTTTATAATAAAGTTAACCGGAAAATCTTCCGTCAGTCTCACTGGAAGGAGGTTGCAAAAGCCGTCAACAGCTACCACGGCTACGACAGAAAATTGCGCCGCACTTACGCTCAGTGCAAAAGCCGAATCAACGCGCTCAAGAAGAAGTATACGATCGAGAAGGCTAGGGTTTCTGATTCCAGCGAGTACGATAATGTATGGCCGTTTTTCGAGAAACTTGATTCGGTCATTGGAGATAATTTACCGCCGAAGAATCTCTCTCCGCCGTTTGATCCTCCTGTTAAGGTTCCGGCATGGGTGCTTGCACCGGTCGGTCGTCGATCCAGCACTCAGAAACAACCTGTGCCGGTGACAACTTCTTCTTTGGAGAGGTTGGATGAATCAAGTTTTTGCCGGAATTTAGCTGTCTTTGCTGCAGCGGCTGCTGCAGCCGCCGAAGCAGAGATTGAAGATTCCAACTCTGATGATTCAGCTTCGGATGAGTTGGAGTTGAGTAACGAGAGCAAGAAGAGGAAGAGAGGAAGAATTGATGTGGAATTTGGGCTTAGAGAGGTTGCAAGTGCTGCAGAGAAGTTTAGTGAGATACACGAGAGAGTGGACGCATCGAAGCAGAGAAAAAATGTGGCTTTGGAGAAACAGAAGATGCATTTTTCTAAGGATTCTCAGAGGATGCAGCTTCGTAAATCCAACCACTCAAAGTGAGCCTCTACTCTTTTTTTCATCGCTTTCTTCATTGATTACTGCATTTATTACTGTCTAATTATTATTATGTTGATTTTGTTTTGTTCATTGTCTTGTTTAGCGTTACTTTTGGGTTGATGTAGAATTGTAGTTTGTTTAGATAGAGTAGAGAACATTAATACTTCCTGCTTGATATGATATGGGAATTGATGATTTTGGATCGAACTTGGTTTAGATAAAAATGAGTTATTGAATTCTCATAACTCATGTTTATTCTTTAGTCTTATTGTTTAGGATTTCTCTTCTAAAGGAACTATTTAATTTTTAAATGTGTTGAAATATCAACTATTAACTGTCCAGATTGTTAGTTAAGTGGTTGGTTCAGTTACTTGTGTATGAGTGGACGCGGGACTTATATAAATACTCTGATTCAATTTCAATAAAGTGGAAGTATGAAAGTATTATTTAGAGTTATTCATCTTCTTTCTCTCTTCTTTGAGTGAGATGCTATAGCATAGTGCGAATTTAATGAAGTGCATTTCCGCACTAACAATGATATCTAGAGCTTCTGGTTCTAATCCAAGGAGTGAGAATTTGAGTGATTGTTTTGTGGGAGAAACACATAGAGTTCTTTCGAGTGTGAAGTGTGGCTAGTTCAAATGGATGCTGCCCCACAAATCTCCCTTTTCTTGATGGCAAGAACTTTGACCACTTGTGCGTGAAGATGGACGTTGTCTTTTGATTTCAGGATGTGCTAGAACTGGTGAAGAATGGAGTTTAAGTGGAACAAGATGCTAATAAAGCACAAAAGAAAACCTACAAAGAGAAAAAAAGAGTCTGCAAAGATCTTTCTTTGTATACACTAATGTGTTTATTCTACAAATTTTGAACAAATCTTTTCTGCAAAGACTTCCAAGGAGGCATGGGATGAAGTTGATGTTGATATGTACAATCCTTTAAGGACATAATCCAAAGATATTGGACAAGAGTCTTTTTAGTGTGCACATGTCTATGCCGTGACAAAGAAGAGACTTTGCATCTTGTGTGCACGTACTTTACAGGTTCTCTGCTTAAGTTGTTGAGAGACATGCTCCTCGAAAGTAATACACTGTTAAACTGTAATTATATGACCAAGACGATATGGTGTCTAATGGGAATGAAGTATAAAAAAATACTAACAAGCTTTAATGATTGCACGTTGTACATAAAAGAGTTTGAAGAGGTGAATAAGAACTCCAAGGGTGGGATATCACTATGAAGCGAATGATGGTTATTCCAGCTGTGATGTAAGCACAAAGGGACATCCTGCAAAAGTGTTATTTTATCTTCCTATAATCACAATATTCAAACAATTGTTTGTTAATGTAAATGGTGCGGAGAATAATATATGGCAGATAGACGAGAAGAAATGTGATTTATCATGTGACTAATTCTTTGCAATGGAAGAAAGTTGATGACTTGTTTCCGAGTTTTGATAATGAGTCATGAAAGTTGGGCGTAGACTTGCAACAGATAAAATAGATTCATATGGTGATTTAGTAGTAACTTTAGCTAATGAAGGGCAAATACATTATATTATATATGATGATTTCGGGCCCAAGGCAACCTATAAATAACATAGGTGTTTATCTAAGTCTTTTGATTGAAGAGTGTGTTTGATGTGTATTCCTGTGATTATTTCAGGATGCCACTCACGATGATCATAAAAAAGCGATATGAGAGAATATTCAAACTTGACCATCTTAGAAAATCAAAACATACTTTTACTTTAATTACTTATATATGACATTTCATTTCAAAAGCGATATGAGAGAATATTCAAACTTGACCATCTTAGAAAATCAAAACATACTTTTACTTTAATTACTTATATATGACATTTCATTTTGAAAATTAAATACTTATGATGGTTGCATTTTAAACAATTTTTACTTTAATTGTTTAAAAAAGTTTTTATCCATATGAGTTTCTCTCAATAATGTTTACTGTGATTGCTTGTAATGGTTTTTATCCATACAAGTTTATCTCAACAAATTTTAATTTGATTGCTTACAGTAAATTTTATCCATGTATTATATTTTTATCTATTGTATCATGTCATTTATCCCATTGTTTAGAGGAACTATTGACATATAACTACTATTATTTTTGGTTAAACAGACATATGGATGATCTATCGCATCCTTCCCGAAGTGGGTTGGATACTCAATCTACCAATAGAAAGGGAAAACGTGGTGCCACGCTAATGAAAAAGTTAGCACCTGACCCTATTGATGGACAACGGATATCGATTGAATTTGATCAATCAATTGGAAAACCGTTAGGGGAAAACAAGACAAAGTTCAAGAGTTACGTAGGTTTCCTTGGTCGAAGCAAAGTCAGTATTTTGATGGAGGATTGGGATTCCGTAGATGAGGACGTGAAGAACGACATTTGGACATCCATCCTGGTAATTGTGATTATGTCTGTAAATGTTGTATTTAACTATATTATTGTCATTCACTAACTTCTCCATTTTGTTATGTAATGTAGGAAGTATGGGATGTTCCTAATTCTGAGTTCTTGCGAAAGAAATGGATTTCATATGCAGGTGAACGTTGGAGGGCATTTAAGAATACTTTGACTTCTAGATATATACATGGGGATCTTAGTGATGAATCTCCTCTTGAGGTCTATAGTTTTCTTAATGAAGAAATATGGCAGGCCTTTGTTCAAAGGCGACTGGACCCTTCCTTTCAGGTTAGTTGAGCTTATAATTTAGTTGGTCAACCAAATTTAATTTTAATACTAAATGTAGTTGGCGTGTATTCATATTAGGAGAAAAGAAAGAAAGCACAAATGATCTCGGCCCATAATAAACACCCTCATAGATTATCTCGTGGGGGATATGAGTTGCTCCAGGAGAAGATGATTCAAGAGAAATTAAAAGAAAAGCAAGAATCATTGGGAGATTCAGTAGTTGCACCTCCATCTCCACCAGCACGCCACGAGCAATGGAAGAGAGCCCGACAAAAGCCATCAGGAGATTACATAACAGAGGACACACGCATTGTTGCTGAGAAAATTGTAAGTAAACATGCAACTCTAATTTTATAATTATACAACTAACTCATAATTGTCTAAAATATTTGAATTATATGGTGTAGGATTCTCTAGTTGAAAAAACATCTCAAGGAGCTTTTGTTCCACAAGGACGTAAAGATATTTTGGTAGAAGCCCTTGGCCAACCTGAGCACCCTGGTCGTGTTCGTGCTGTTGGTCAAGGTGTCGGTATTCTACAATACTTTGGACCACATTCACGTAATGCCTCCACTCCGCCTGTTATTAGTAGCAAACAAATAGAGGCCATAAAAATGGAGCTTACTCAACAGATTAAAGAGGAATTGATGCAAGATCTGACATCTATGGGTTTCTCTAAGAATTTCCCAACTTGTCCTCCTAATACCGTTGTACCCGGGATCCCGGAGAATAGTCACTCTACTGTGCCTCCTATTACAGATGAGGATGAAATTCCTGAACAATGTGAACTGTATGTTGATAATTTAAGTCATGCCGTGGCCTATGGTAATGTTTACAAGTTAGGACCCACCATACATAATCAAATGATAGAAAATGATATGGCGAGGGTGGTGGTTAACGAGGTCCTAGATGCAAATGCCCAAGTACCTATACCCACTGATGAGGTGGAAACGGTTGGACATGCCCTTAACAATTTCATTCAATGGCCGAAAAGACTTGTGCAAATTGTTTCTGACAAGGTATTCTTCACATTTGTCTCTCACTTTATACACTCAAATCCTCTTAAATATGTTTAACTAATGTTCTGTCCTTATTGTTTAGGATGTTGATGGATCTGGGGAAGAGAATGTTTCACCCAAAAGGCTGGACCCTCAACTAGATTCCGTTCAACAATTGGTTTTAAAGGCGATGTGTATGTCAGAATCTATAAAGCTCGAATTGGAACACGACAGGATGAAGTTTCTCTGGCTCTCACAGAGAGATATTATGGAGTTGTGTATGGGTAAACAAGAGTTATCCATAACTATTCTAAGATTGTGGTTAACGTAAGTACATTTTTTTTAAAGTTCAGCTAACTAATTAACAATCATTTATAATTAATATTTATTTCAATATTTTAGGTATTTGAATCGCCTTTCTATTAATGTGGGTAAGAGTGACTTGTATGGATTTATTGATCCATGTTTTATTCAAAGTCAACACAATCCATCTAAAGCTGAAGCCTACATACGGAATAAGTTTTACGATGATAAAAAAGAGTGTTACCTAGCTCCGTATCACAGCAAGTAAGTACATGTGGATTATAGTTCATTGCTTATATAATTGAGAGAATTGTATCGACACCTATCTAACTATTTGTTGTTCAATGTAGTCGTCATTGGCAATTGCTCATTATTTGTCCTAGGAAGAATCATGTAGTATTCCTATGTTCATTGGAAAGAAAACCGGATAAAAATATTATTCACACTGTAGATTCGTAAGTGTGTCATTTGTCTATCATACATGAACTTTGTGATATCTTTTATGACACAAATATATCTTATTATTTAATTAATATTTTATTATCCTAGAGCTTTGGAGGGATATCATAAGCTGCAAGGTGTTCAAAAGAAGAAGCCAATATGGACTGTCCCAGTTGTAAGTTGACTAGAATTTCACTTATAACTTGTAGAAGTTACTTTACCTATAATTTTTAATGAATAAATTCAACTTTGATATTCAAATTTAGTGTCAAAGACAACCTGGCAATTATGAGTGTGGCTACTATATTATGATACATATGTTGAACATTGTATCTGATGGTATTATTGATCCATGGAAGAAGGTAATATAATTTTTTACAAGTTATATTATTTAGTTGTTCTTTTATTGTTGATGCGCCAATCTTATGTCATTTCATCATTCATTCAGGTATTTGGAAATTCAGAACCATTCCATGAGGATGAACTTATAAACGTCCGACAACGTTGTGCAAGTTTTATTCTCGAGTACATTCTATGAGTTAAAAAAGCTTCTCTTCACTATTTTGTTAACAGAGTGGAGTATGCTTTCGTTGACACCTTTTTTGTCTCCCTGTAAATCTTCACTATTTTGTTGGTGTTCTAATACTGTTTTGAGTTGTGAATGGCAGTACTCAGAAAGACAGATTTCGATCTGATGGATTTCAGGCCATTTGAAGTATATATGGCACTGATCTGGTGATAAATGATGACTTGCAAAAAAGGGAGAAGAAAATATCTGTACCAAGGAAATGTTCCATGTAAGCTAGGTGTTGTTGTATTAAATATTAAGTTATATAGTCATATATTATTCTTTAGAAATTTGTAACTGATCGGGACTTTATAAGTCTGTCGGGATACTAACTGCAAGTATACAGTTCAGTCGTTCTAGTTTTAAATGATTATCGAACCCACAGAGACTGAGGGTCAATCTCATACGATCTAATGTTACAGTTTGTTTAACTAAGCGATGAATATTCGATTTTAGGGGGGAAACAGTTTAATTAAAAATAATAGTAATATTTATACCGGTATGTGATAGTCGGGCTTCGGGAATTCGGTGAATCGCTTGGCCTATAAAGTATTTCGGTAAAAACTAATTGTTTAAAAATCTGAGACATACACTCTCTAGTTCATGAAATAAGTTATGCTACTAAACCTAGTGGATGCACTTTAAATTTAATAACACTTTTTGAAAATAATTTGAGTTTAATTAATTTATTAAAACACTCTCGTGTATTTAAAAATTAATGCTTCGTTACCACTATCTGGGTTGAACCCCAGCTCTCGCATGCAGGTTCTTGCCTTAATTAATTTCCCGCTCTCGTGGCAAAATCGTGTTAATTAACCTCTCACTCTCGTGACAAGGATAGTTAAATTAATCTTAGAAATTGGAAACCAGAAATTATTTTATAAATAAATATTTTTGGCCAAGGTATCACTGAATTCTTTGGTTCTTAAGAGTCACATACCGGTACGAATAATTTAGCCGGACATAATAGATTTAACAATAATGCAGTACAAAATATAATTCATACAAATAATTGGCATAATATAAAAAATGAATAAATATTAATTGCAATAAAAACCTGGAATTAACGTAGCTATGGTAATCTTGAAGTGTTACAATATTCCTTGCAGCTTGATTGAAGTAAATAAATTGTGTTAATTCTTGAATGAAGAATTAACACCTAAAACTAAAGCTTGAAATAATACTGGAAGTAGGAATTACAATACGTAGAAATTGCTCTAAAACAAGGAAATAAAAATAATTGCAAAAGTAATAAATTTGTTCTGAGAAAATTCCTCCGACCCCTGCAGCTTTGCACTACCATATATATATATATATATATATATATATATATATATATATATATATATATATATATATATATATATATATATATATATATATATATATATATATATATATATATATATATATATATATATCAGAGGAAATAGCAGTTGAAAGTGTCTTGAGAAAAGGTTGAGTGGAGGAAATATAGGGAGCATGGTTATTGAGTGGAGGGAAAATAGGAGAACAAGTCTGCCCTTGCGTTGCCCACGTCTCCACCCATTTACAACGTCCATCTTCACGCGCGTGACGGTCGTCACAGGTGGGTGACGGTCGTAACGCGCTTAAATAGCATATTACGCTCGCCAGTGATGTGTGACGAGCGTTGTTCCAAGTTGGGGGGCGTTACGCCCGTCACAAGGGTGTGACGACCGTCACAAGGGTGTGACGACCGTCACTGCTCCAAAATTCCAAACTTTGCAATTTTAGTTCTTTTTCTCTTTGTTTATTGTCTAGCCTTCTTCATGTAGTCCTTTTTCATTGGTTTGAGTTGACAAATGTTATACCTGTAAAAAGATAAATAAACTTGGAATAATCGGGGGTTAGACGACTTAATGTAATATAAAATCGGTAAAAAGCGTAGTAATTATATGATACGTTTTCTCGTTATCAAATTCCCCCATACTTAAACCTTTGCTTGTCCTCAAGCAAATAGTCATTCGAAAGGTCGGACAAGTTTTGTCAAGCGCATAAGCATGACATACCTTGGATTTTTAAAGTAATTTCGGGAAATCATTGTCGGTTCGGCCGATACTTGAGTGAAACACTAAAGATACTGGTTATGACACAAGCAATAAGTTTAGTCGTAGGCTTCCATTTCAAACGAGCTATCCAACAGTTCCGTTATAATTCTTCCCAGAGTTCCTCGTATCTATTTCACCCGGTTTTATTCTGGCGCAATCACATTAAGCCCTTTGTCTTAGCACGCACATAGTGGAGTAACTGGTTAGTGACTTTGATCCTTTTAGCACGGGGTCTGGTACATGAATGTGGCAACCCTACATATGTTATCCAAGTTGGAGGTTGTGGGGGATCGAGCCATAACACGCCCTACCGAGTTCAGAACCAGATACCTCTGAACCAACCTACACTGGATTCCTTCGTTATTTTCTCAACTCTTATATGTGACCGTATATTTTGGTGCAAAAAATTTCTTTTCTTTTAGCAGCGAGATAGGAAGGATATTTTAATGATCAGGCATCAAACACTTATATTCATCGATTCTCCACGTGGTTTGTGTCAAGACGGTGCTGACTGCTAGTATAAACTACTAGGGGTTACTGTAGAACTAAAAACTCTAGATGTCGGTATAATGGTTATTGAAATGGATCGCGTAAATAGGAAGTTTACGGTGTCATAACCGTATCAATCTTGTTATGTCGTTTTCGGCTTCCCTAACTGGGGATTTCGTTAGAATAGGTATGTCGGGCTAATGCGAGGATAAATTTTTTTTTTGGTATGGCTGAATAAAGTGAAGAATTTAAATCGATATGTATCATAAAAATTACTAGTTTATAAATGAAGGAAAGGTACCTCTCCCACACTAAATCCGACATTGTCCTCAATGTTGTGGTGTATAGGCGGGGAAGTACAATTACAAAAACAAACGGAAAGGAAATGAAACAGAAAAAATAATAAACTACATAAAAATAAAGAAAACTACTGGTGACCACGTCCTCTACTCCTGGTGCGAGAGCGTCTGGTAGGAGTGGCTTCTGTGTCAGTGTTTTGGAAACCAAGGGTGCTGACGTCCAGCCTTAAGGCGTTAAGCTCTGACAGGGCCTCATCTAACCTCTCATTCATTTTGCGCTGCCCAGTTAAGATCTGAGCGTTTTGAGCGCAGAGACTCAAATTGCTCGTGTTGCCTTCTTTCAAGTGTCGCGTTCATTTGGTTTTGCATATGGATGGCGCGGAGGATGTCTTCAAGATTAATAGGAGGAGGTGCAGATGAGTATCCTGGAATGTCGTGGACGGGAGGGGCACTATCCAGCTCTTCTTGCATTTCGTCTGCGGGGCTGCAGGTTGGTCTTCATGAGCAGGTGCACGCTCTGCGGGAAATTCAGGATCGAACAACCAGTTTGCTCGGTTTCGTGGATCGATTCGGTCCCTGCAAGGCAAAATGATGTTCTGATAAATAGTGTTCTTGATCACAGGGTGGAATCTGCCATCCTCCCGCTCGTAAATGAGATGTGCGGCTTTGCAGTGATCCAAAGTTAGCAAAGCCGGTGCCATAGAAGGCAAAGTCGCGAGAGCAGCGCCGTAGTTCAGACCTATGGCAAGTGAAGTGACCAGCCCTCCGAAATAAAATGGTTTTCCGCCTCTAGCACAAATAGAGTGGATGTGAGCAAGTAAGAACGGGGCGACATTGATCTTTTGCTCTGTGAACGCGCAATGCAAAAAGAAGAGCTCCTTGGAGTTGAGCTTGTGGTTGCTGTCACGGGCGAAGATTGTGTTGTTGAGGATGCGGTGGAAATAGCGGATGGCCGATTATGAATGTGGGTGGCATTTAGGTGGTCGTAGGATCCGGCACGGATATTCGTCAAACTGTGCCATAAGTTGAAGGCTTCCTCACCAAAATTATCCGGCACCCGGAGATGAACACCTTCGTCCGAACAGAAGCCTAAAAGTCGCGCAATGTCGGATTGAGGAAACTCGTGCTCAATGCCAAACATGTGGAATTTGGCCAGGCCTGACAGTTGGTTCGTGGCACCTGGCGGAGTGATGTAAACAAAGGAACTCAAAAACTCAAGAGTCAGAGTTTCATAAATCGATCTTGGTTCACGGCACAAGTTCCATAAATCTACACTCTGCAACAATTGGCGGACACTGTCAAGTAGTCCCAAACTCCTCAGGCAGTCGATATCAATGTACCGTGTGGGTTGGAGACCTCTGCGTTGAAATTTCTGAAATTTTGCCCGTTGGTTTTCTCCTTGTTCGCCGGTTCTGAAAGTGAGGGCGGGAGCTTGTGGGTTGTTGGCCATGGTGTAGGTAGAATTGGATTGCAAAAGGTTTGGAATATGAAATTGGGGTAGTGGGTGGATAGTAGTTTAGTGTTGGAAGTTTAGAAGTTTGAAGAAAAATGGAGTGGAGTGGGTAGTTTTCGTGTGATTTGTAACAATGGAGGAAGTGGTTTTATGAAGGGAATGGTTGGAACGGTTCTGTAATAGCCGTTCTGATACATTGTATGCGTGACGGTCGTCACAAGGCAAAAAGGCGTGTTACGCTCGTCACAAGGGTGTGACGGTCGTAACACGTTCAATGTCATTAATGAGAAGACCGTTACAGGACCGTTGGAGATGTTTGTATATTTTTATATATTTTTTTATTATTTTCTTAATAATAAAGTTTGAAATATTTTAATTAATTAGAGTTTTGAAATATTTTTAAGTATTCTAATAATTAAAGTTTTGAATATTACAGTTTTGTAATATTATTTACCAGCACATAATGAAATAATAATATTTGCGGGAAATATAAACCGTAAATTAAAAGAAATAAACAGTATGCTGAAAATGAAAAGGAATGAAAAAAATAAAATAAACTTGGTACTTGATAAATAATTGAATTAATCCATAAAATTTGTTTCGGAATAACTAAAAAAATAAAAATGATAAAATGCTAAAATAACTAGAATCCCTCCCACA